AAGTAAATAAAAGTAGATAAAAGTAAGTTAATTTTATAGTATTTAATATGGAAGCTTTCTAGAAGCTTCATAGACACTACTTTGACTTCATAGGTGTCTTTAATTGACTTTTTGGATTAGAAACGTGGTCAACAAGTTGGCCATATACCACACATATTGTTAGCTTAAAGACCAAGCTAATTATGTGGTCCACACATAGAAAAACTTGCCTTGTAAGTCAAGGCATATGTCCTATAAAGTCAACACATATTGGAGGTCCTATAGAATGTTGCCATGTAGCCCCTAGTTAGATAGTATATATAGAGATAAGAGTGAAGCCTTCTTCACTCTTGTCAACTCCTTTCTTGCTTCCAGTCTAGTTTCAAGGGTCTCTAATTTTCTTGTCTTTTGGTAATAGCCATTCCAGTTTCTCTTTCAATATACATACTTGTTTATTTATATTTTATTACCTTTCTTTGAGTGAAGGCTCACTTGTTTGAATTGATTTTTTATCGATTTCTTGTCCTTGACAGATACATAAATCTCATTCTTGAAATAGAGGAAGCCATTATTAAGAGTGTAATCTTGGTACTGTTTATTGTCCATCATCAACCAATTACTAACCATCTTGAAATAATCATCTCAATGCATAGATTTCTTCCATACTATTTTTTTTTGTTAGGTTTGAGATGACACTACTAATGGTAGTGATTTTTCCCTTCTCTCCTAATTTAGTATTTAAGTCTGATCTCTATGATAAGTTGTTTGGTACAATATGTTGTCGCTCTTACTTACACTGAAGTTGAATGTCAAAAAGCTGCAATTGTTCTTTCTAATGATGATTTCTTGATTTCATATTTTTCAAATATAAATCATGTAGCAAGGATCAATGGTCAATCCAAACAATCAATGGCTTCTTCAATAGATAGTATTTCCATACTTTTGTAGCATGTACAATTACTAATTGAACTTGATCACATGTAGAGTAGTTAAGCTTTGCCCTTCTGAGTTTGCATGATTCATACATCACAAATTGAAGGCCCCTACTAAAGTCTTAATGAAGGACCGCTCTAATAGCAAAGTCAAAAGCATCAATGTCAAGTGTATAGAAAAGGTTGAGATCATACAATTGCAATATTGGAGTAATAATGAGTACCTTTCTTAACATATCAAAGGTACTTTGCTATTCCAATTTCCATTCAAATGGAGCACCCTTCTCTAATAGGCTTGTTAATGAGGTAGTAATATGTACAAATCGATGAACAAAACAGCGATAATATTCGACAAGGCCTAAAAATGAATGGACTTCAGAAGCATTCGTAGAGAGTTGGTCAATCTTCCACTGCTTTCACCTTATCTTACTCCATACACATACCTTTGGATGAAATCACATGCTCCAAAAAGGTGACTTCTAACTTCCAAAGTTCACACTTTGATTGCTTATAATAGAAGCAACTATCACATAGTTGATGCAGCACTTTCTGTAGATGTTGTTCATGCTCCTGAAGGATTTTATTATAGACCATGATATCATCAATGAAGACAAAAACATACTTATCTAAAAGGTCTCAAAATAATCTATTCATGTGAATGATAAAAGAAGTCCGAGCATTGGTGAGGCCAAAAGGTAATACAAGCCACTCAAAATATCCATAGTGCATACAAAATGTTGTCTTTTCTATATTTTTCTTGGCAAGAAGGATTTGCTAATAACCATTCTAAAGATCTAATTTGCTAAAGATGTTTGCACCTTGAGGTTGGTCAAGAAAATCATCCACACATAGAAGTGGATATACATTCTTGATAGTCTGCTTATTCTGACCTCAATAGTTAATGTAAAGTCAAAGTCCACCATCTTTTTTTGGTGCAAAGAATATAGGTGCTCTCCATGGCAATGTGCTTTCTCAAATGAGACTTTTTTTCAATAATTCATCCAATGACTTTTGCAGCTCTTCAAGTTTATTTGATGTTAGTCAATAATTTGGACGACTAGCCGGTTTGGCCTCAAGTATTAGTTCTATTTGAAAGGAAGCACCTCAATTAGATGGTACACTACTAGATAAGTTGGTTGAAAAGACATTCAAATATTCACATATGAATTATTCTATCCTTTCTGCTCTTTTGATTGTCTTTTTTACCACTGAGGCAAGTTTCAAAACCACCACATATATCAGTTGCTTATTCTATATTTTCTTCTTTGTAAAGGTCATTCTTATGAATAAGCTCTTAGCCGTAGATTGTTTTCATATCTTACTCAACATAGGGACACAAAGAGTCATTCTACATCCTCCATCTTTGAAAGAGATTATTCTTGTTAGCCAATCGATCTATTTATTCTCCACCTCTAGTCATGGCACTAAGGATAACATCATATCTAAGCTTTATTATTCTAAACTTCTTTTTGAAGGCATAGGTATCACTTAGCTTTAAGATTTCTTCTTCACTTATCTTGCTCAACATGTTCTTTCAATCATTTGCTAGATATATACTCCTTCCTTTAATCACCTTTCTTTTAATCCCTAGTCGGTTGGTTATTGCAATCAAGATGTAATTTTTTGTAGAGCCGCAATCCACAAGTACTCAAAATGGTTGTCTTTTTAATTGTCCTGTTAGACACACTAATTAATTTTTTTGATATTTGTCCAAGGCCATGTTATTTGTCTCTAAAGAATAGCAACTATCTCCAATATTGGCCTTTGGTACTTTTATTGAAGAGCCTCGTTTTCCTATTCCACTTTTTTAACAACTTGGTAGCTTTTGACATTGTAAACTATCCATAATTTATTGGTGCTTAAACTTTGATATTTTGAATAGTCTCTAATCTGATGGTTTGGCTCCCAACAATAAAAGCACAATCTCTTTTTCAACAATAATTTTCATTTTTGTGATATTAATGGCCCTTGTAGAACATTAATCTCCATCAACATTGATTATTGTGCTATAGTATTAGCTAGTAGCATAGAATTCTACACTATAGGTCATATTCTATGATTTTTGAAATCTATAGCATAGACCCTCCTTACAATCCTAATTGCCTCTTTAAATGTTTGTAGATTTTTTAATTCCACTTCTTTTTGGATCACAAGTTTCAATCCTCGTATAAATCAATTCATTATCTCTGTCTTTGAAATGTTGTCAATTTGGAGACATAGGAAATTAAATCAAGAGATATAATATTACACTAACCAAGATTGTGTAAGGTTAGTCAACTGATCATGTGTTAATATTTCCGCATTAATGGTCCAAAATCAACTCCTATGTTCAATCTCAAACTCCTTCCAATCACCAAATCTTTCTTGAGCTCCATAGCTTTGAGGTCAATGTCGCCACCAAATGGTTGTTGTATCTTTCAAATGATTGGAAGCATGTATAATTCTTTTGTTGATATTTGTTCCAGATAATTGGAAGTATTTTTGTATGTTGAAGAGCCATTGGCATGCATCTTCTTGCCTTGAGGTCGTTGAGTATGTATTAGGCTTGCTCAATTTCATCCTAACAAATGTCAACTCTCTTATCTTAGAAGCTTTTATTTGCTCTTACAGAGTAGATATTTGGCCTAGGAGTTTGTATTTGAGTCTTTATCTGGGATTGCTTTGCCATATCTCCTATATTGAAATTTCTTTGCTCAACTTTGTTATTATAATGCCTTCTCTCCTTCCAATTGACTTCTTAAAGTAGCTCATTGTAGCCCAAAAATAGTACTCAATGTGATCACAATAATTGACTTCTAATAAACAGTGGCTATGAACTTACTACCAAAGAACAATCTAACACTTGCTCTAATATCAATGAAATAAGATTGGATACATTAAAGTTTAAAATCTTATCAAATCCATAAGAACAAAGATTTCAACACAACGTAAGACCAAGTACATTAAAACAAAACTAAAAGTAACTAAACGGAATAGAACATGAAAGATAGGACTAAATAAAAGAGAATAAACCAAACAAAACCAAACAAAACCAAATAGAATAGAATAAAAAAACCAAACTTTACTAAGAGAAAGAGTCTAAAATCATACTTGACCAACTGCCTCAAATGGCCTTAGTTAGTCTTATTTATACTTTGTTCAATTATATTAGAACTTTCTAGAATGTCCCTAATGATGGATCTTATCAAAATAACTGTCTTTTTAGAAGATTCTTAAGATGGATCCTACCATGATAACCACCTTAAGCTTTTCTAAAAGATTCTATGGTGGATCATATATAAACCACTATTCTAACTTCAATTCTAAAAGCTTCTCAAAAACAACTCCAATTACATATCTTAATCTGCAAATAATACAACCATCCTATCCATGCCTTGTTACAATATTAATATGTAGTATTTAAATTAAATATTTTATTCTTTGACATTAAATAGTACTAAGATTTTTTTTTTAAAGAATATCTCATTAAGTATCTTCATATGAATTTTGATGAATCTACTTTTTATAATTTTTAAAGATTTTTTCTTTAATCTAAATTTTTCAAGTTTTTATTTGACATTAATCATATTTTTTTAATCAAAATTTGTATTGATATTTCTTAAGTATTATCTCTCTATATATAAAATCTCTCTCTCTTTCTCTCTCTTTCTATATATATATATATATATATATATATATATATGACACATTATAAGAGTAAACATTCTGGAAACTATTAAGTGTGTAGAATAGTTAAGCATCATGTTTAAAATATGATTTAATATTAAAAATTTATTAGTTAAGCAAATAATATGATAAAGTTTATTTTTTTAATCTATTGATAAATTAAATAAATTAAAATTATAGCCCTAGTTGAAGAATAAGAATATATTTTTTAAATTTATTCATGTATCTTCTATATATATATATTAAAATTTTATCTATGTTTAATATAGTATAAATGTAATTTTTTTATCCAAAAAAATAGATGTATTCTTATTGTATAATAAAATCTTCTAGCTTAGAATATAAAAATATATCAAATTTAAAATTTATATTATAAAATAATCTTAAATACATGAATGTGTTTTTTTTTTATTACTCTATATATTTTAATATTTGCATTTCTATAAATTTATTTTTTTGTAATTTTTAAAAAAAAATCCTAGTTTTATCCTGTTGTTTGGAGTAATGGATTCCCGGGCAAAGGTTCATCATGTCTATTCCAAACAATGCGCCATATAGTACCTGATTTTGGAGATTCTACCAAAGAAAAACCTTTAAACCTAAATGGAATAAATGTCAACACATCACTTAATACAATTTTTACATCTCTAGCTAATGGAAGTGTGTGAGAATTAACAACTTTTTTAGAATTAGCCATACGTAAAGTTTTAGTACTAATACCAACCCATGCCTTACCATGTGTGTCTAATTCTACATGAGAAGGATGTCGAAAATTAGTATGCAACCAAAAAATCCAATCTTTTGCATTAGGCCATGGTTGAATTTGACTACTTCCACCACGTGCATGCATTGTACTATCAATCCAACTGTATACTCGTTGAATTTCATCTTGTGTCAGCAACCCTTCTTTCCAATCTTTAAGAATATCATGTACACCTTTTGGTAGGGAATTTGTAAAATTGCTCTTTTCTTCCTTTACCACATTCTCCTCCTGATAAAAAAATGTATAAAATCACATGTTTAAATATTTTAAAAGATTCAACACAATCACTCCAACCATATGCATTTCATATAAAAATTCGAGTGTTTGATACCTTTACAGCAATAGCAAAATTCTCCGTATGATCAAAGGCCTCCATGTCATGAAAGCTTTGTACACATGATGTTTTCGAATCTAGAATCGAATTGTCAACGCCACCGACACAACCACCGACACCCTCGCCGACACAATCATCGATACGGAGCGCCTTGTGTTTTTGCAACAAAGAAGGCACCACCGCGTCGGAGACGACGACGACGACACCCGCATCCTCATCGCCATCGCCGCTCCTCGAGCTCTCTCCTGGGAAGCACACCGCCATCGCAGCCCCAACCCCACCATCTGAGCTTGCGACCGACAAGGGCGACGACGCACCGAGCGGCGAATGGACGCCGTCACCGTCGTCGTGGTCGTCGTCGTCGTTGGGAAGAGGCTGGAAATTCGATAAGCGTGCTTCGAGCAAGTGGAGGTAGCGGTGCTGGTGATTGATGTCAGCGAGCTTGGCCTGGGCCATGAGGAGGCCTTTCTTCATGTAAATGGCCTTGCGCTTGGTGAGGCGCAGCTCCTCGGTGCAGCGTCGCAGGTGCTGCACTTCATGCTTCTGCTGTGCGGAGAGCGGTGCGCCGTGTCGAAGCGCATCCTGGAGGGAGTCCAGCCTCTGGGTTTCGGTGCTGTTATGGGATTCCATTTCGTCCAGCAGGCTCCGGTAATGCAGAATGCTTCGCTGCATGACTGTGGGTGGGATCTTCGCGATGAATGTGCGACAGGTGGGTGATCCGCACAAGCATAACTCGGCGTATTTTGCGTCGTCGGTGTATGTCCAACTGAGACCAAATTTGTATGTTTACTAAGATATTCATATACTTACATGATACTTATAAGAATATCTCAATTTTTGTTCTTGGGTCCATGTTACAAATTATGATATGATCTTGAATCATATTTTATATGTGCGTGTATATACAAGTAAAGATTTTGGTATGAAGTTGATGTTATTTATTTATTTATTTATTTTCATTTTATTTTGTTTTGTTTTTTGACAGTCAGAATTTATGTTGGTTAATACTATGACTCGTTCAGGATTTTATTGTGGCTTACTTGTAGTCGTATGTGAGGGTGTCTCCTTTGAAACATATCTTTTTTGACCTTCCAACAATGTAGATTTTTCCATTTTGCCATCTTCAATGCAGAATTTGTAGTTTTCAGCATATTGTTAATTTGTGTTCAAAAGTTACGTGTGAGAGAGTATCAAAAATATATAACTACATTTGTAAAAATCATATAGCAATTAGGTTGTACATATTATTTTTAATATATGCACATTTTATATATATATATATATATATATATATAACCCTTCAAAAAACAACAAATGTTTGAACAGAACTTTAGAAATTGAGGACTTGCATACTAAACCATACATCAATTAAAGTGCGACACTATGCACAGTCAATTACCACTTTCTAAAATTTTGCAAATGTTGGTCAAATCATCCACAAAAAGAAAATAAGAAGACCAATGCTAACATTTCAAATATTTCTGTGTTGGGATTGCAACCATGGTTCACAAAGCCTGCAACTTCTTTGTAAGTATCAACAACAAAACTTGGAACTCCAAACTTGCCAATTCCTTTTGTGGCTTCTCCCTCCCACTTTTCAATCAACGCGTAAAGATTTGGAGGTTTTTCCTTGGATTTCTTGAGATAATGCTTCAATGAGGTCATTTTCCCAGTGAAAACATAAGCCAAGCATCCAATGTCAATGTCTTCCTCCGTGTACAGCTCATCTCCCGCAATTCCAAGTCGAACATCAAGTTGGGGCAAATGGAGAAATGTGTTGGGAATGCAAAATCCTTCGCATGCGCATTCGATGTCACAAGTTTTGCGAAAGTGGTGGCATGAGCACCCATATTGGCATTGGAGTAAGGAATTGACACTGGGAGGCTTGCAATTACAATGATGATTTTGCATAGCGAGGTTCACCTCAGACGATGCTGCATTGTATTGTTTTTTGCACGGTAATTGTTCGTCAAAGCTTGCTTCCACATCTTGAATTTGTTGCAAGATTTCTCTGTGTTGTGTGATTTTTGCAGCTTTTGCCTTGAAATTGAACATGTTGGCAGGATTCATTGTGTAACCAAAACGAATTCTCAATTTCACTTCAAGATTTAAACCTAATAATGAGAATAAAGTTTATTAATAAAGAAATTATATATATATCTATATATATATATATATATATATATATATCTGTAGTATGTTACCAATAATTTATATGGTGGAAGATACATATGTGATTTTATTTTTTATATACTATATACAAAACAAGAAGAAGAAAATATGTATGTATATTCGAAACAAGAAGAAGAAAATATGTATGTATATTCGAAATAATATATGGATGTATTGTAATGTATCACTTTTCATTTTCTACATATGAAATAATATACACAAACTATGAGTTTTAATTTACAAAAAAAATATATTGAACATTTATTTGGATATCATTTAATAGAATTGAACCATTTAAAACATGAGATTTGATGCTGTAGAATGCTACACTTGTTACACATCTTCATTGTTTGAATACAGAACATGTTCATAATGGCAGTGGTTTTGTTCATGCTAATCTAAGACAATACATTATTATATATCATATTCGCAACTGAACCATATAACGTTGATTTACACAAAATTTACCCATTCTTGAAATTGTTGCTAAACTTCTCTTGAATTTTCATCATTATAAATTTGTTATACCAATTCACAAGTTTCCAATATATGTATATATATATATTAAGGTCCTTTCCATTAAGTTACAATTTTTTGAAAGTTTTGGGGCATCTCTACTTTTCAAGCTATTTCCATCAATATCAACGTATAACAAGAAAATCAAGGTTTGACGGCTGGTGACGGTGCACCACACAACCAATCTTATTGTACTTCACATACAAATCAGATTTTGGAACACAGAAGAGTGCAATTTAGTGCTATTAATCAGAGTACAGTCCCTTGTGAAAATGCAACACAATAAATGTCTTATGTTCAAATAAATTCCCGCAATCTTTCTGTACAAGGACACAGCTACCTCAGAATGAAAAAGCTACCAGATGGAACCAAACTTTCCCCGGCAAAAGCACAACGCCATTTTTACACCCCAATTCTGCACAGATTCTGAAGGGCTCAATAATCCAATACAGCGGCACACCAGCAATGCAAAAAAAATCTTGTACGCTGAACTCAGATTTCAAATCAGCCAAGCATACAAGAATGAGATTGTTAGGTTTGCATTTGTACCCAAGGAAAAGGCAGAGCCTGTACCACAATCCCCATTGAAAGTTGACAAAAACTTATTGTCAATCAAACTTAGGTATACAACTCAGGTAAGCTAAATAAACATGATGTAAGAGACAAGAAGGCAACGGATTCCATCTTAAGCTTCATGAATAACAATAAGAGAATGCTCTACAATATAATATCTTGCAACTTGCCACGGTGACCAAGTGCAATATTTTAGAAGTTATCACTCGTCTCGCTAAACGTAGGCCTCTACTTTGCAGATGCATTTTTGGGGGTATAGCAAAAACCACAGTTCTTTGCTCTTTTTCATGCTGACTGGAAATCTGGCATCAGAAAATGCTTTACAACCCTGTTGCGAGTGCCATGCACGCCCACTTCTCCTCCCTTAGGTCCACCGCTAAAACAGGTCTTAAAAAATGTGTACAATGTCATATGCAAATCTGTTGAACGTTAAGGTATACGCATGAAATGGATGCACGATTGTTGTGCCACTGATTCCGAAACAAGCATTAAATAACAGAGAGTAATTCAACCGGTTTTTCAAACTCTACGCAGCATGCACAAGAAAAGGAATACTCAACACTTAGTAGCTAAATATGAGAGACCTACAGAAACTCGTAGACAACCCAGTCGAAGCATAACCCAGGAAAAAACAACCAAAATATTAAAAGACTTGCAAAGGATACGTCCAGAATAGAATGAATGACTGTCCCAGCCAACCCACCACACCATTTAACAGTCAGTAAGTGTACTTGTGCGTGCATTTAGTATAAAGCAACTAACTACAGATAAATTGGTACACAATGGATCAGAATGGAATTCATATTTGATGCTACCAATCCCACTACATTTTCACACGAATATGTAGACATCAGTGAGACATACAACTTAAGAATCCAAACATAGGGTTGCCCATGAAAATGAATGGAAAGGATTTAAAATCTCACTAGCAAGCCTTGCCCAATGCCATCAAAGAGAATGCGGTTCCATGAATCGAAGTACGAGTGCACATCAAACTTTGCTTTGGCAGCAACTCCAACCGATGCAAGCATCATAATCAAAAAGTAGCATAGGAAACCAGAAATTCCAGTCAACCCAAGCACTCCTGCAATAACACCTCCCACGATGGACAAAAACGTGCGGCTGCATCCCAACCACGCAAACCATACAAATTTCAGATCTTACAAACCCTAGAGAGGAATTTCGTACGAACACGATAGAGCCACAGTCAAAATAGAAAGCGGAGGGTCTCTCATAAGATACCTATAGTAGATCATGCGCATGTTAAGCTGAACATTCTCCTGACTGTAAGCCGGAACCTCGTCGGCATCATCGACCTTCTTAGTCTGATCTTTGGCATTGCCTGTACAGAACGAACAACCTCATTCAACTACCACCACGCACTGTCCGCGAAACAAACACCCCTAAACGGAACCAAACATAGAGGAAATCTGACTTCCTGCTCAACGGCTTGCCATCACAACTTCAATAACTCAACTGCCAATTCATTTCGCTTAAGATTTCTAACGCTCCGGTTGTCTTTCAATGCAACAGGTGGAAATCCTAAAACCCTAGAATCGATCTCTTCGTTTGATCGATGCAGAATTGCGATCTTCCGGGAAAAAATTTAAGAACAAGGCCGAAGTCGAAGAGAAGCAAAATCGGCTGATCGGGAAAGAGAGAGGAGAGGGAAGGTTACTGGTTCGTGACACCACTGCCGATCGCGGAGTCGGCGCCATGGCTCTGCAGCTTCTTCTTCGATTTCCCTGTTTCAATGCAAAAAACTCCGTCGTGCTCAAGGCCACCCTGCTGCTTGGCTCCGAAACCCATTCTGCGGAGGTACGGACCCGACGAACGAAGCCCATCGACAGACGAACGGACGAATGTAGCTTCTTCCAACGAACTGAGGAGGATGGCGGACGAAGTGGCTTTCGACGAACTCAGCAGGACAACGGACGAAGCCTCCTCTGACGAGCTTCGTTGGACGAGTTGGCGTTGGACTAAGATCTGGTTCAAGGTTGTGGTGGAGAGTGTGATCAATTAACATTACAATTATACATGGGGCTTGTTATTTTAATTCTTTGTCGATGATTACTTGAGGAAGATTCAAATGTGCACCTTCAAAGTAAGAAGAGAATGTTTTACAAGATTTGACAAATTGAAGGAACTTCTAAAGGAATCTTACCATTACATCAAGGAAATAAGTTTGAGAAATGTAGATGAGTTTATGATTTTGCAATTTGGTGATTTTTATAGAAGATTATATAAGTGTTAGAGAATATCAATATTTTAAAAATATGGATAGCAAAGCATGAAAAAAATATTGTTACAAAGATAACAATAAATATTTTACAAACTTAAAATTTTGATTATAAAGTTTGCATAAAAATAGTAGTAAAATTAATTTACACGTTTAATTAGTATTTTTTTAAAATTTCTATGTAATTTCAACTATAAAATAAATATAAATAAATAAATAAATATTGTATAAGTGAAAATCTTTGAGTATATTATATGCACAAAAGAGTGCATACAAAAGAGCCTCAGTATTATGGAAAAACAAATTTGCTATATAATTAAAAAAATATTTATATTCAAATTATTGTAAGAGAAATAAAACTTATATGTTGATGCGTTTAGACCAAAAAATTAATTAACTATATGTATATATATATATATATATATATATTATATACAATAAAAAAATAAAGAAGTTGCACGTAAAAATTGTGCAAAGTAAGAAAATATCTCAATGCTAATGTGTTTTACTTATATAGGAGGAAATACATTGATATTGTTTTATTTGGTTTTATTTAAATATAAGATGTTTCTAAGTTGATCATGCTAAAGCTGTAGCTATCTCTTGTTTTAGTTTTTAGATAGATGGATTTATGTTTATATATATATATATATATATATATATACATATACATATTAGTAAACCTATCTTATAAATACCACTAGATGTTAATCAAATGGAATTTTTAATATTAATTGATGATTAATAATAATTTATAATTTCAACTTTAAAAGTAATTTAAGTTTTCTAATATTATAAAATTTTCTAACAATTAACATATCTCTCTTTTCAAGTACTTTGTTGAGCATATTAACAACCATGTCTTTTAAACAATCGGATTATATTTCTTTCAACAAAACTATAATTGTTTATTTTAAAAAAAAATATTAATAAAATCCTTCTAAAAGTTAATTTTGATTACTTCAAAAATCAAAAACCTTTAAATGATTCATGAGTGACTTTACTTATTTTAAAGTAATTCGTAAAACATAACTTGGTGTGTAAAGAAGTTATTAAAATTCTACAAAATGATTACAACCCTCAAATGTTTTTTTGAGCTTACAAAGCATTTTTTTTATTCTCAAAACATATCTTGCTTTTAAATAGAAATTATAAAAAATATAAAAATATATATTTAAAACAAAAAGAATTAAATTAAAAAAGATTCTAGTTCAATAAATTTTACAGTAACCTTTTAACAACAAAAAGTGATTAATATATTTTCTTTTTATTCTCTGAAATGCTTAAATAGTCACTAGTAATTTTATTTAATTAATGATTTAATTTTAAATAAAGCATGTGTTTTCTTCAAAAAGTGATGCTTATATATACAATCAAAATTCATAGTTATTACTTCCATATCTTAATACCAACAAATATTTTATTTATTGTAAAAATAAATGCAAAAATAAAATAAAGATTGATTGCATTTTAGAACCACAACATGTATGAGCCTATAACCTATTAAAATAAAACAAAAATATTAAACATCTATAATGTTGTACAAAAAAAATGTGGATTTGTACAAGATATGAATTCTAACATCTTTTACTCATGGTTTAAATTATGTTGATGTTGCTTCACTTAACCATCATCAAACTCTTCAAAAATAAAATAGTTAAAAGTTGACATTGCCAAAACCTTACCAATACTAATTCTTATTATTCTTTGACTATAAAAATTCTCGTAAAAGCATCTAAATGATCACTTAATCAATATCCTTATTATTATTATTATTATTATTATTTCAAACGAACTCAAATCCTCTTTTCAAGAGCAATAATTAAGTAGCCAAAGACTCACATCTTTATAAAAATAAATAAAAAAATGCTAATGACAATTGAATAAATTTAATATATATATATATATATATATATATATACATACATACATACATTTGTATATTGAAAAAATAATAATAAAATTACAAAAGAAGTCTTAGATAAAATACGTATTACTAAACAAAATATTGATATTTTAGAAGCCAATTAAATATTCAAAGTATTAAATTAATTTGATAAAATTGTCTTAACTTATTTAATCTCTTTCTAAAGCAAGATGAATGTGATAAAAATGCCTTTATAACTTACTTTTGCACATTTGTAATCAATGTTGAAAATAAAATATAAATTTATACTAAAAATAAGAAAAAGATAAAATAATGTGTATAATATTTAAAAAATCATATTGTAAGAAAAATCTTCCTCTCTCTCTCTCTCTATATATATATACACATAACTCTACATTTAAACATCACAGTTTGGCAAACTTTAACATTGACCAAAGAATCATCATCATTACACACACACACACACATATATATATATATATATATATATATATTTATATACACTAGCAAAAACCTATGCTATATTAGAAGACTTCTTTGTCTCTTTGTGTTATATCTAAGCTCTCTTATATAATAGATACACACTCACAATAAATTAATTGTTTGTAAGAATAACAAAACTATGCAATATTTTTGATATATTTGTAAGCTTTGCAAATGGAAAAATTAAAATAGATAGGAAAATATTAAATAGACACATGCTTTTACTAAATAGGCCCATCTTTGGTGATGAAGAATATGGTAATAATGATGAATGTGGCTGGTTTTGGTTTTTATTAGTTGTAGAACCAATACTGGAAAAATGAGTCCAGAAATTATTATTCTTTTTCATGATGGGTAGATCAATTTAGTAAAAACTTGGGTCTATTTAATTTATATATATATATATATATATATATAAATATTAAACGGCATCATGTCCAAATCCGTTAAGCACGACATACATAACAAGTTTCTGATACCCTTGGCTCCATGCTCCCCCCACCTTCCTCCTCCGATGCGGCGACACGTGTCGCGCTTGTCTTTGAACCTAGCTTGCAGTTCAAATTTTCAAAACCGTATTTAAAAAGTGAAAGAGAAAAAAGAACGGAGGTAACTTGCATCGTGAAGCGAGGGAGGGGTTTTACCCCCTTGGAGACTCCGCTCTCCGCCTGCGTTGCCTTGCCTTGGCTTTGAGGCTTGCTTTGTTGTTGCGTTACAGCAGCTGGACTATTGGTCCATAGACAAGCCGCCGAAGCCCTTGATTGGAATCCAAGGATTCTACGCCAGAGCATGTGCCTTGTAGTGGGAGAGAGTTCGTTCGCCGCATGGATCGGTGGTGGCCGATGATTGAGTGACGGCGGTTGCTGGCGTTAATTTTACGAAAGCGGCGCAGGGAGAGAGGGAGTGAGGGAGGGAGGGACGGCGGGGGGCAGGTGGTGTGTTCCACGGGAGAGATGAGCTTACTACGAAGTGTGCTCTCTAGTTAAGAGTGGAGCTGACGATTTGCGTTTTAGCTGCGGTGTTGTATTAACACGCTTGAAGTGAGGTGAGGAGTCCGCCAGCGACGCGAGGAGAGCTTATCTGTCCTCTTGCTCTGTGTCGCGATGAGCAGTTTGCGAGTCAAAGACGAAGATGTTTGTGCGAAGGAAATTGAATTGGTACAGGATCGTTACTTGTATGCGGTGTGCAAAACGGACAAGGAACGCCGAGGCGAAGTGCACGAATTGGACTCAGGGGGGTAGAAGCAGGAGGAGACGACGACGTCGGGTTGGGGCTGGGAGAGTGGAGTGGAAGGATTGTGGCGTTGTATCATAGATCAGTTAGCGTGGCGACTTGGGTCGTAAAAAGTCTTGGTTGTTGTTTTTTCATTTTCCAGGGGTTCCTGTTCCTGGTTCTGAACAGAAAATTAGGTTGAGCGTTGTGACGCTTTGACAAGGAGAGTGTAATTAGGAGGAGTAAGGCGTGGAATTGAAAGTGAACTCTGAGAAACGAAAAGTTCCTGTAGTTCTTAGCTATGATTCGAGGATTTCACAATTTGCTGCCGAGCGTGCCCTCATCTCCGCGGCCAGCAGCTTCAAAAGCAGGGGAGTGCAACGCGTGTGACTGCACTGGATTGATATCCTCTCAGGCGTTACCAAATTCAGTCTCCGCAACTTGCACTTGTGAGACTTTGGAAGGGCATGATATATTTGGAAGTGAGTCAGTGTTCAAGGTTCACGAGAATCAGTTGAACGTTCTTGACGATTGGGAATTCGCCGGGGACGAAGAGAAGGAGGTCAAGGAGCGGGTCGAGGCAACCGACGGAACGTCACATTTTCTGTGAGTTTTGAGCAGGATTGGTTCAGTTCGGGCAGTTAACTATCAATTAATGAACTGATTGTGTCGTGTGGTATGAAACTTCCTTTCCAACTTGTAAGTGACTAGATCTGTTGATTGTATCTTATTCTCAGCACGTCAGACGCAGTCAGAGTTCCTGCTGAAGAATCCGCTTTGGTCTATGAAGAGGTTAACCCTGTCATTTCAAGTTTGGAGGTCCGAACCAACGTTGCTGGATACCTCGATGAAGAACTTGGCCAGTCAAGGAACTGTGACTGGTTGGAGCCACCATCTCCCTCTGGTTGTGTCGCAACGCAGGAGGGCAATCGCCAGATAGGTGATGAAGGAGTCATGCTTGAGGCCTTTCAACAGTTTCAACAAAGCCCGCAGATTCAAGTATTAAAACCATAGCATTCTTCACTAAGTTTTCGTGCACGCTCAAGCAGGAACTAGAGCAAATTTTATCGAGACAAGTCCAGAAGAGCATCTATGACCGAGTATTTGCTAATGATCTTTTATCGTTTTGTGACAGAAAATGGTTGTAGAATTAGCCACCGATGCGCGGGTGTGGCAAGCTGTTCTCGCCAACAAGAAGCTCCAGCAGTACAGGGTCGGTGATGCTGAAGGTATCGGCTCCTCGCAACTAAATGTGTGACTTTGCCGTTGATGTAAGTCCATATCTGAGCCTTGCCGTTTCGTTTTTCTCATAGTCTGAGATCTTATGCAATGCAGGCGACTTTGAAGCTGGTATTATTCTCAAGGGACATGGCATCGACTACGCCGCACCTCGAAGCAAGGTGATTTCGAACTTTGTTCTGTTATCACACAATGCAGCGCGCGATCTGAAGGAGGGATTGTGGGACCATGTTAGAGGAGCTATTGAAGTGTTAGACAAGAGGACGCAGACAGAAACACACAAATTGATGAAGGAGTTTATGCATCGAATGCTCATGATGATGGCATTGTTTATGCTCAGTTTAATTATCTTCTTGTCCCTCCTTCCGCTCCAAGTATCTTAAGGCGCCTGATGAGTTAGGTTCAATTCTTCCATCTGAAGTTGGACGCTGTTCAAACAACGACAATATTCTGTGTCCTTAATTCTGGATCACAACTGACGCCTTTGAAAGAGTGGTAAAACAACAAGTCCTGAATACGTTTAGTTAAACTTAGTTTGTACATGAACTTCTGTATATCTTGTACAGTTTGTATCTATTTGAAACTTGTAATGCTTCTTCCGATTATGTAAATCCTGATTGCGCATCTGCGACTGGTTCATCTTGTTTTGACAATTGACCTAGTACATTGTGAACAAACACTGAAGTATACCACTTTTCTGTGACTAATTCTCAACGAACATTGAATTGAAGTAAGTATTATCTGCACTTCATTTTTCCTGCGAGGGACTCACTTATGCAGATACTAATGTTCTCCCATCCATTTTCTCCAGGGGATGATTGAAGTCGACCTTCCCTCGTCCTTATTCACATGCAGTTTATGAATTTGGGCAGCTTTAATGGTTTCGGCAAGTATGTGATATCTTGAAAACTATCCTAAGAATTTTAACGGACAAGTTCTGAATCAGATGAGGGATGTTGCAGACTTGAGATTTTGTACTTGGTGTTGGTAGTATTCAGGGCTCTGGCGTATCTCCTCCGTAGTCTGGAGCGCGTCTTCGACCTGTTAACAAGAATCTCTTACCAAGTATCACCAACTATACATTGTCCCTACTTTTTAGATTGTGGTTCAAGGTTAAGCCTTAACGTGAGAGTCCTGGGAAGCACGTTTTGCTCTATCTCAACGTTCTCTGCATGCCTTTCGTGGATAGCGGCATCTCAACTACAACAACCCCCCCCCCCCCCCCCCATCAGCCTTCACAACAAGAGTCGGTTAACTCGACCCCCGCAAGTCTTCTCTCGATTGGCCTTCACATTTTGCTAGCTTAGTACAGCATCATCGTTCTTTTATAGAGTTGCAGGCGCCGCATTCTGGGTGTCCTGAGATATGCCCATGCGACCCGGTTGTTACGCTAAGTACTGATTATTCTACCTTAGTTGTTGGATCGCTCCGGACCTCTTGATTTCAAAGTTCACACATTCCAGAATCTCCTTTGGGAATGGAAGAATGGAGCACACAGTACGCCTCCAGGCAAAAGGCAAAGGTTAATGTTGATAAAACTTCCAAACACCTCATTTGATAGACGTTACCTCGAATGTCCCACATCACCTTGCCTATGGAACATATCTCATATCAATTCACCCACAATGAAGCACTTTGTCTGTAGTATTTATCTTTCACTTTTTCACCCACTAAGTATGTTGAGTGGAGATGGTCAATTTAGGATTAAGCCGCTGATTCATACAACATACTTTATGATGCATTGTATCCATACACTTATAGTTGAGTTTTGCTCACTAGTCAAGTCAAGTGTATCAAACTTTATTTTTCTATCTATATGTTATACTTTATTTTTCTATCTACATGTTATTAAAGCCTAGTCAAAGTATAATTAAATATTGGTGAATATTGCTTTCATATATTCTAGATGAAATCTAAAACAAAATTAAAGCAGATTAAAAGAGAATTGTTACAATGGTTGAGAATAACAAGTCTTTGAACTTTGAGATAGGGGACTTGAATAAATTGACAAGGACCTTAAATTAAAATATTTGGAAGATCAAAATGACAACAATCTTGAAAAGAGAGAATATCTAGCCATTAGTAGAGACAAAATAAGTACCAATATTGTTTCCAATACTTATAGTTGGAACATCCTATATTTAAGTCAAAATAAAAAAAACAAAGCAAAGAGAATAGTTAGATATTTCAATGTCTTGCAGAGTAGTTATATTTTAGTAACTTACTTGGTGAATAGTAGAGTTCACCAAGTTTAGGCTGTTGGTTCTTTAAATATGAACTTTACTTTTGAAAAAATGAACTTAAACAAAGTTCTTCATGTACATTCATTATAACATAATTTTGTGTCAATTGGCTTTTTAACAAATGAAGGTTGAGTCATAGTTTTTATCAACAAAAAATACCTTCTTTTGGATGATGAAACAAACAAAAACATATTAGCTATGGATACTAGAAATTATTCTAATGGATTATACAAATTTATACATATATCATAGACAACAAAAGTAAATTCAATTTCAATAGATGAGAGTGTAGATCTATGGCATAGAAAATATGGACAACTTTATTATTCTGACTTATAAGACTTATCAAAAGCCAAGAGAATACATGAATTACTTACTTTTAGTACAATCAAGCAAATCTTCTCAGTACTGATTACTTTGCCAGACGATAAACATAATGGAAAGTTTTCAAACCTATTACTTAATAGATGAATAATCTACTCAAATCTTGATTCCTATATACAAATAGGGGTTGAAAAAATATGAATTATATATTTAAAAAATTCTTGAAAGACAATGATATAAAAAAATAGCTTACAATAGCAGCTACAAGTCAATAAAATAGAATAAATAAATATAAAAACTAGACATTGGTAAAACAAGCTAGATCCATAGCTTCTACAAGAAAATTCCAAGGTTGTCTTTAGACTAAAGCTATAAATATAATAAATTATTTAGTTAACCTAAGTCTTATTTAAACCAACTATGAAATATCATACAAACAAAAATAAAGTAAGAAAAAGCCTATGGTGGATTATTTTTGTATCTTTTAGTCATTAGCTTTTTTTCATATTTTAAAAAATATCCAAATTAGATAATAAATCTATAAAATGTCTCTTTTTAAGCTACAAAGATCAAATTAAGTCATACAAGTGCTTGATTCAATCACTTATAGAATATATATAAGCCAAGCCATAGTCTTTGATGAAATCCAAGTGAAATATGAACTTGTAAAAACTATAGAATTACTTCATGAAGAACTAATTTTTTCAATTGACTATGAAGATATAGTAGAAACATAATAGCTACAAGAAATAGTAGAACATTTTATTATTTAGGAACCATAAAAAAAAAATCTTTAGACAATAACTTTACTATCTAGTTATAAACTAAATCAAAATCTCCAACCAAATATCTTGTATAAGAACAAAGATGAATTATTAGATTTTGTGATAGTTACATAATGAATATAGAAACAAAGAAAGGAATAGAACCACAAAACTTTGAATAAATTATAGAGCATGATGGTTGGAAAGAGACAATCAAATAAGAAATAGAAAAAATCAAGAAAAATCAAATATAGAGACTTGTTGATTTATCAAAAGAAAAAAAATACATATCTATGTAAAATGGATCTTGGAGGTCAAAATAAGATCAAGTGGAAATATAAAAAAATTGAAAGCAATACTAAAAATTGAGGATTTTGAACAAGAAGAAGGGATTGACTTCCAAGAAATATTTACACTAATTTTAAGGTAGACTATAATTTGTAGCATTGTTACTTTTGTAAGCATAAATAAGTAAAAATTGAAATATTTCAATATCAATGCCACATTCATAAATGATAAAATCAATAAAGAGTTATACATGATTTTGCTTTGAAGTTTTGGAAAAGGAAAGAAAGAAGAAGAAGTGTGCAAATTATAAAAAGCATTCTATGGACTATGATAAGCTCTTAGAGCTTAATATAATTGCATGGATAATTATCTAAAATAACATTGATTAGAAAAAAGTAGAGAAGATTATAATCTTTATTTTTTAATAAATGAAGGAAAATATATAATTATTTTATTATGTAAAAATAGCATCCTAATATCAAGAAAAAATATAAGAAATATCATGTAATTCAAGGAAGAAATGACACATATCTTTGAGATGTTAGATTTAGAGAATGTAAGAATGTACTTATGGATAGAATTTTACAATAATAAATATGGGATTTACTTCTACTAAAGGCATTAAATATGAAAAGTATTGGAATGATTTAGCATGAATTTATGTACTTCAATAAGTATAGCAATGAATCCTAAATATACGTTGAAGAAAGAAACATGAATCCTTGTACTTGACAAACTTATTAAAAGTCTCATAGACAACTTACTTTATATTATCATTAGCAAATAAGACATTTCATATGCTATGGATTGTATTTCTTGACATCTTAACAATCTTCAATAAGCTTATTTTAAAGCAGCCAAAAATATTTCATAATATTTGAAAAAAAGTCTTGATTATGTAATATTGTATCCTTCTAAAGACAAAAAAAAAACATACTTATATTTGCAGATTCAAACTATATGGAAAAAATTAACTATTATAGCTCAATTTTAGGCATCTTTTATAAGCTTAGATTGATAATAATTGCTTGTTCAAGTAAATTACAACCTACTCTGTCATTCTCATTTATAAAAGAAAAATATAGGATGCATTTTGAGGTTATCAAAAATATAATCTATTTTTATAGATTACTAAAAGAATTATAAATTAATGATAAGGCATCAATTCTTCTATAATGTAATAATATGTGTAACATTAAATTGATATGAAATCCAATAATACATAATAAAATCAAATATATAGACTTAGATCATTGTTTTTTTTAAAAAATAGGCATCAAAGTAACTTATATTCTCATTGAGTATTAATAGGCAAATGTATTTATTAAATCTTTGTTGAATCTTCAATTTATTCATATTAAGGACATGAATTTCAAAAGAAGAAATCTTCAATACACTCTTGTGTCACTAAAAAGAACTAGAAAGTTACTCAAAGATAATATATTATTGAACTAGAATAACTATTGCCAAAAAAAAAAAAATGATAGAAAGTCTTGAAACAAGACCAAAGACTAGAGAAGCATTGACAAGAGTGAAGAAGGCTTTATTCTTGCCTCCATATATACTTTTAACTAGGAGCTATGTCGCAATATCCTATAGGACTTCCAAAACGAATTGAATTTATAGGACATGTATTTTAACTTGCAAGGCAAGTTTCTTATACGTGTGTCACATAATTAGCTTTTTCTATAAGCTAGCAACATGTGGTTAACTTGTTGACAAAGTTTTTAATCTATCAATCAACTACAAACTCATGTAAAATTAAAGTAGCATCTATGAAGCTTCTAGAAAGCTTTTAAAGAAGATATTATGAAATTAATCTACTTTTATTTATTTTTATTTACTTCTATCAAATCATATAGATATTTATTAGAATACATATGTATATCCATGATATTATCTCTTCTTTTAGGGACAAGTTCTATGAGGAGTGGTATCATGTATTGATAAAATTCAAGATGTGGCTAATTATATTTGCCACATTCTCTATCTTTTTGGTGTCACAAATACATCAAAGTTACAAAGAAGGGTAGAAGGTAGAATGTTATCTTCTTTGAATCTCATTTCTTTTATAGCAAAGATTTATTATTTTTCATCTTCATTTTGATAGATGTTGTTAATGAAAAGCCTCAACTCTCTTTGTTCTATTTGCAAGGTTCTTTGCTAGCTTCTATGTACATTCACTAATATCATATTCGCATCAATGAATAAGATATTTCAACCTATTTTAGTATTACCTTGAATCTAAGACTTCTTCTATCTCAAACTCTAGATGATTATCCACTTCTATAAGAAGTGGCATTTGTCTTTTTCTTAAGATATTCATTGTTTTATATGGTTGAAGAAGAGACTTTTAAAATATATGGTGGATCTTTATAAACTTTGGTAGTTATAATTAATAAGCAACAAGATTGACGTGTTCACTAATAGGAAAAGGTCCAAGCCTATAATAGTCCAACTTATCATAAGGACAAGTAGCCTTCATATTACAATAAAGTAATCATACCTTGTCATCTATATTAAATTGTAGTTGTTCTTTGCAATAGGCATTTGCATTAATCTTTTGTTGTTCTTGAACTCCCTTTAACAATTT